AGGGTTTAGGGTTCAGGGTTTAGGGTCCAGGGTTTTGGGTTTAGGGTTCAGGGTTTAGGGATGGCTGGAAGTAGTAACAACACCTTCAAGCCCCTGGGCTGCCTTTAAGGAGCTTAAATTACGTAAGTTAACCGATGGGTATATACATATATATATATATACACATATACAGTAACTATACATATATTTACTATATATAGTAAATGATAGGGTTTTTTCCCTAATCTAGTAGCTTAAGTTAAGTTCCTTAACAGCCACCCAGTTTAGGGTTCAGGATTTAGGGTTTAGGGAAGGTAGTGGGAAGATAAATTGAGGGCAGGGTTGGAGTTTCCTTTATTGGCTCTGGGGATAGATTTAGGGTTTAGGGTCTAGGATTTAGGGTGGCATTTGTATTAAAACCCCAAAATACCAAACCTTAGACCCTCAACCAGGATTGAAACTCCTGTAGGTGGTGTTTGCTGGACTGGAGAGAGGAGAGTTTAATGAGAAAGGAGAAGGAAGTGCGAACGGGGCGTAGATAGGGATTTATACTGTGATGACTGCGGAGTTAACTCAATTAACTCAGTTGCCTAAATGGTTATCAAGTGCTCCTGCAGCTACATCTCTTGATGACTTCATCCCAGCAAGCATTGCAACAAGGACCCAAGCAGAATAAATTCCCCTAAACCCCTAAAACCCCAATCTCTAAACCTTAAACTCTAAACCCTACACCCTCCTCCCGAAACTGCACCTTCAAGTCTACACGAAGCCCTAAACCCTGAGGGTTTGCTTCGATATCCCAGAGCCATGGTCCATGAACGATTTCCTCGCCCCAAGCCTCAAAACTCAAAGCTGAAAGCCCTAAACCCTAAACTGGGTTGCTGTTAAGGAACTTAAATTAAGTTACAATAAAGGGTATATATAGTAAATAATAGGGTTTCCCCAATATAGTAACTTAATTTAAGTTCCTTAACAGCAACCCAGTAAACGTGCTATATCCCACACTCTTCAAATGGGGTTATATAGGGGATTATATAGGGTTTAGGGTTTAAGGTTTAAGGGTCGAAGGTTTAGGCTTGAGGGGTTTAGGCTTTAGGGTTAAGGGCTTTTGGGCTTAGGGTTAAGGGTCTTAGGGCTTAGGGTTTAGGGTTTAGAGTCTAAACTCCTTAAAGTGGGTTGTACGGGGGATTCTCTAGGGGAGCAATATTTAGGTGATGAAGGAGGATACTAGGAGTGTAGACTATAGCACAAATCCAGAACTGCTATACTGCAAGCCCCGTTCCAAAGTCCTAATTAGGTATGGTTTAGCGGGATTTAGGGCCTTCTTATATTCCTATTCTACCGCTATTACAGGCTGGGGGCCCCTACCTAACCCCCTAAACTCTAAACCCTAAACAAAGGGGGTCCTCCTAAGGTATGGTGTTGCCAATCGCGGCGCATCGATCCGTATCCCGCGTGATGCGGAGAAGGCCCAGCTGGCGTTGTTCACGGTTTAGGGTTTAGGTGAGTCCAGAAAGCCCAATACCCCCTAATTAGGGAATATACCTTGAATCATACTAGGGATCCTAGTATCATGTGAGGGATATCATACCCCCTAATTAGGGAATATACCTTGAATCATACTATAGATCCTAGTATGATGTGGGGCATATTCCCTCATAGAAGGATATCAGGCTTCCTGGGAGGGTTCAAGCCTGCAGGTCAGGGTTTAGAGTTTAGCATTAGGGCTTAGGGTTGAGGATCAGGGTTTTATGCAAGCCCGCAGCTGCGAGTTTGGACCAAGTCCGGTGCCTTTTGAAAGCGCAGAGCACTTCACATTGGCGGCGCAGGGTTTAGCCCATCAACAGCAGAGTTAGGGTTTGGATTTGTGAAAAGAGTTGAACTTTTCTAAGGGTTCAAGTTGCAGGGTTCTGGTAATTAATGGGTTGGGGAACCTAGTCATAAGGGGTTACAATCGGGTCATAAAGGGTTTATTTAGGGGATATATCATATTCCCGAACTCCACGGTCCCTCGACGTAGAATGTTAGAGTAGAACCTTTTCCCCCAAACTTCCAGCCCCCCAACTCCTAATTCCTAAGCTTCCAATGCAAGGACGTCGCGAAAGCTTGAGATCCTGAAGCCCCTAAAGGGTTTAGGGTTTAGGGTAGGGCCTATATGATACTAGTGGTGATATAGGGGTTATACACGACTGTGAACCCAAACCATTCCTATACATCTTCCCTGAAAGATGGACTCGTAAACACCGTTTTAAAAAGTTGCGACGTTTCACAATCATACAACTCTTCTTCGTTGAGAACGTATTCAGCAACCCTCAACCTTAAAGCCCTAAAAGGCTTTTAGCCCATATCCCCTAAACCCATAACCCTTAATTCCTAAGCCTTAAATCCCAAGCCCTAAAACCTTCAACCCTAAACCCTACACCCCTAAACGCCAAGCCCCTAAACCCCAAAACCCTAAACCCTAAATCAGGCCGGCCGCGGATACATGGAGGACCGCCGCCCCGCTGCCAATTGCGACCCATACCGGGCCCGGACCGCAGTTTAGGGTTTAGGGTTTAGGGTTTCGGGTTTAGGGTTTAGGGCGTTTTCTGGAACTGGCTTTGTTGTAGGGAATCAATACAGTCACTTTAGTGGCAGCCCCAAACAGAGAACCTCAAGAATATCGTAGGAATTCATAAGAATGTAATCACCAGGTCCTGATATGATATTACCGATGTTACTTCTATGTTCCTACTAATTCTTGGGGTTCCTTGTTAATAAAGAGAGTGGAGATCACGGCTGAATTGAGGATTACATAGGGGCTACGATAGAGATCCAATCCTCTATTTCGTGCTACCAATCAGTGAGTTTCGGGGGCTGGGGTTTAGGCTGCGCGGCCTAGGCCACAGTATCTAGAGTTCAGGGATTCTGGGTTTGGTCCCTTTATTATCCCCTAGGTTTCTCCTAGTAATAACTGAGGCTTCTTGAGGCGAATTAATTGCTAACTATCCCTAGGGGCGAACCTAGGGGGGTAGTATTCCCCTCAGGGGTAACCATGAAGCTGGGATTTAAGATTAGGGTTTAGGGTTTAGGGTCTAGGGTTTTTCACTTGATTAGTATGGCTTATTCAGGGATAATCTAAGGCTAAGTCCGGGGGCATCTGGGTGGGTAGCATAGGGGGGAGTAGTAGGGGGAACCATGGGGTCTAGGATTCAGGGTTTATGAGCTCAGGGTACTGTACTTCCTTGGGCGTAAGGTGTGTAAGTTGGTGCAAGATGTCCTCCATGCACAGAACGGAGTTGAGGGTTTAGGGTTTACCCTAAACCCTAAACCCTAAATGGAGTTGAGGGTTTAGGGTGTAGGGATGTGTGACACGTTCTAACTCATTCCATCCTGTAGTAGACAACAGAAATATGAGTTTGGTAGTTTGGATTGGGACTGAGGGTTACGCGCATGAAGTACGGAATATATACACGGATTTCCAGCGCAGTACAGCGGCTTTCTCCCTCGAGAGCAGGAAGCAAGCCCCAGACCTTACCCTTGGAAAGATTTCATATTTAGAGCCTTATCCCCAAACCCCTAAATAAATCCTGCACCCCTGAACTATACAGGGCCTGAGTTGCTTTTCACTAGGCTGGAGGAAGGAAAATCCGGATTTTGCAGGAGCGCAAGCCCGATCTTCTTCAGCAGTTTTGAGAGTTTGGGGTTACGGGGTTAAGAACCCAAGACCCACAACGAGAAGATTTGTTTTTTTTGCAGAAGGTCCAGGCGAGAGTGATGCATGATATCCTAGGCGGTGCAAGACTTCCTACATCCACAATATGCATGGACAACCAGAGCGTGCCATTGGGAAGGAGACCACATTCTAGAATCCAAAGCTAAACTTTAAATGCAACTGATTTGGGAGCACATTGTCACCACTTGAAAAACCATCTGTAGGGATTCTGTAGGGACACTGCCACCTGGCTATGCCATGTCCCTAAACCCTAAACCCTAAACCCAAAAATACCTTATAGCCTTGAGAAGCATACCATGAAGTTCTTCTGCCTGGACGTTAACGCCAGCAACCTAACACACAATCCGTTTTAGGGTTTAGGGTTTAGGGTTTCTTCATGGTGTTCCATGCTGTTTCGTAGAGGCTAAACCCTAGAGGGCACAGACATATGCGGGTATTTCGAGTGATAAGAACAACAGTACATGGAAAATGTCAAGTAATGATCGCAAAGCACGCCTAAGCGCCGCCTCGCATCAACTTCTCCCTAGAGGTCACTCACATTGTCAATTGAAACCTTAGGCCCTACACCTGGAAAAACACCTCCACCCCAAATACTCAGGTCGGCACCTTAAACCCAAACCTGAAGCTCTTATACAACCCCAAGCCTTAAGCCATAAACACTAAACCTCAACAGTCCCTTGGCCTTGAACCCTGAAGCCTAGAGGTCACAAACATTATCATGAAGACCACCGGCGAGTGCCTGAGTGCCGAAATCGTGGAGGCCGAGCTTAACTTACTGGGGCGTAGAAGGAGTAAGGGGGTATATTATATAGGTGGTTGTCAAAATTCTGATCCCTTTTTGGATCCCTATTTTAATACGGCACCTAATATTTAAGGTACCCAAAAAGGGACTCTAATTTTGACAGCCACCTATACAGGGGTAAAGAACCAGTAAGTTAAGGTGTGCTGTGTTCAAGATGCAACAAGCAGCTTTGCTCCACCATGGTGCGCTCAAGACTCCACGGTGCTCTGTAGGGAGTGGGGACATCACAGCGCCCGCTGTGGGTATCGATTCCCTCATTTCCTTTTACTAGGCACCCTAAACCCAAGGCTCTATAGTAGCTTCTATTTTCCTTGATTCCAGGCTGCATCTCCTGATGCTGCTTCTGCTGCTGCACTTGCTGCGAAGTCTCTCTCATCCTGCTGATGTGACAACTGCTGCTACAGCCACTGCTAGAGTAACATCGGCAAGAGTGACAGCAGCCAGCTTGATTTTTTGGGCTTAGGCAGCATGGCTTGCTTCAGGAAAGGGTAAGAGGAAGTGCTCATGATCGCATGGAAGTTGCGGCGCGTTCTGCCTCATGCGCTTCTTCTAGGATGGCTGCTGCGCTCTTCTTTGATTTTGGATTTCGCTCTGGGCAGGCAGGAGAATCTGCGCCTGTTGCGCGAGCGGGATGGTTTGGCAAAGACTTCCAGGGCACGGAACCCCAACGTCACGCTGAGCAACGAGGGCCGGGACTTCTTGGGAAGGATTAAGGACGCAGGTGAAAGAGGCGATTGGCACCAGGTCCGTGCAATCTTCCGTACCTACACTGGGCAAGAGCTGCCGGTTTTCCATGCAGTGCTGCACGCGGCGCTCAACTGTGGTCAGTATGGTGAAGGTGCCTCCGCCTATGAGAAGCTTTGTGGTTTGAAAGTTCAGCAGGATGCGCCTACGTTTGCTACAGCCATGAAGACGTATGCTAAGATGGGGAATGCATCCCGCGTTCGTGAGATCTGGGCCGCGGCCAGGCAGCATTGCCAACTGGACGCGCCTCTGTCCGCAGCACGCATAGATGCTGCAGCTGCCGAAGGCGTGTTGAAGTACAAAATTGGAAGTCAGCACCCGCATTGTAAAGGCGTGAGAGAAATCCTGGCTGTTAGAGCTATTGCATTTTTTGTTGGTGAGGGTTTAGCGGCACGTTTTGGCTGGTGAGCCAGGTGATGTTGTGACTGCGGCAGAATTGCTGGACGAGATGAATCGCATGGGTGTTGAGATTGACATTGCGCATATCACCTCGGCAATCCGAGCCTGTTGGGAGGCCGAAGCTAGGGTCCGCATCTTTTCATGCCTTCAGGGGTGTGTATCAGAAGTAAGGATTTTGTGATAGCCCGAAATAAGCACTTTTTGCTGGGGGGACACCATGCAAAACCTTCAAAATTGAGAAGCTCTCGGTGAGTGCAGGGAGTCCAGGGAGCATGCTTAAACAATGGATTCTGAGCGTGATGCTGCACGTTGATGATGGAGTGCATATTGCTGTAACCAAGGAAGGGACCAGCCACAACGCAGCAGCTTTCCTCTTCGATTTTGGATTGAACTTGGGATTGGAGCCCAACATCATCACCTTTGCCTGCCTCATGGGAGCGTATGCTAAAGCGCCACTTGAGAAGGTCTTGAAGGCCTACGGCCAGATGGTTGCCATGGGCATTAAGCCTAACAAGGCATTTGCTGAAGTCTACTTGACGAGTGTGTTGCAGATCGAGACTGGGTAGTTGTTAAGGAATTGATTACAGTCACCATGATAGGGGCATATTGTAAATACTAAGGCCTCCTTATAGCAGTAGCTGAATTTAAGCTGTTTGACCGCAACCCAGGAGAAGGAGGAGTGGGTACCGCTTCGCAAGGTCGAGGACATGTCTGCTGTTCTTCAGAAGCGATCGCTGGCTCGACGCAAAGCCGCAATGGCGGCCTTTACTGATTCTGGGTTGCTGTTAAGGAACTTAAATTATGTTACCATAATGGGTATATATAGTAAATAATAGGGTTTCCCCAATATAGTAACTTAATTTAAGTTCCTTAATAGCAACCCAGGATTTCGAAGCGGAAGGGCTTGACATAACTAACTTGAGCCGCGAGATCCAGCGGGCCCTGATTCATGCACAGGGGTAGTGGATTAGGGTTTAAGGTTTAGTGTTCATGGAAGTGCCTGGCCCCTAACAAAGGAGCTAGGTTGTATCTTGATGAACAGTCTGGCATGTACAGCGGATAATTGCCATGGAGTGAATCGCTGCGGAAAAACTTTGACGTGTCCAGCTCCATGCTTGGATTCGGGTACAGTGTTTCTTCGTAAGCCTTGGCCGCATGCCTAGATTTTGAAGCACCGTGTTTCCTGGTTCTGAAGCATTTCAACCAGACCTGACAACATAAACCACGATGGCTGATATCACGTAATGTTGAATGCCCTCTTCCCCCTAATACATTGAGCAAATGCTGCCTATATCCAGCACCGTCTCACGCTAAATCGAATACGCGTCAACACGTGGAAGAAGTTCTATTTTACTCCCAAGGCCTTGGAACAGAATTTCCTACACCCTGTACAAGCCTTATGAAAGCCTCCCTTCAGCAGCTAGGGTACCGGAAGTACGTACAGGTGTGAAATATTCTATGGATGTCCAACCTCTAGTTTCCACGTATTTCAGCTTGATTCGCAGCATAACTGAAGAAATTCCACCCCTGCACCTCGAAAGTGGCTAAGCACCCCAGGTACTTGGAGGGCCATGGGGACTTAGTGAGTAGGTTACTAGCCCCTATAAGCCAGATAGTAACCCCAATTATCCTCACTATTAACCCACTTATTAGGCCCCCCAAGTAGGAATCTATTTAATTAAGCAAGCCCATGTTCCAACCTTCGGATGGGTAGCTTTAGGGTTAGGGTTACCTTGATCTCTGGGTTCCATGGCATCTAAAAGCCTGAGTAACTACCAACCTGTTCCCTTGAAATCTTCAAACAAGTCTGGTGTGATGCAAGCCCAATCCTGAACCTTCGGCCCTAAGCACATTTTTTTGGAAACATGCCTCTATTGTCTCATGTTGTATCCGCGAGCTTAAGCCCTAAACCCTTCACCCCCTAAATCCTACACCCCAAAGGCTTTAAACCGTAACCCTAAACTCAAAACCTTCAAAACCTCTAAACCTGAAGCCCCAACCCCAATCCCTCAGCCCTCAACCTCCAACCCTAAACCCTAAAACCTAAACCCTCAACCTCCAACCCTCAAACTCTAAACCCTACACCCTAAAACCCTAAAGCCCTAAAACCTTAAAACCTTAACCTTAAGCCCAAAACCCTAAAACCCTAAAACCCTAAGACCCTAAAACCCTAAAACCCTAAAACCCTAAGACCCTAAAACCCTAACACCCTAAAACCCCAAACCTTAAACCCCTAAACCCCATAAATCCACACATGCCAGGCCGGCTCCAAGGTGCACACCGCCTTCGTGTTCATCAAGCCCCATGCCGTGTGGCTAGGGCGGCAGTGTAGGGTTTTAGGTTTAGGGTTTAGGGTTTAGGGTTTAGGGTTTCAGGGTTTTGGGTTTTAGGGTTTTAGGGCTTAGGTTTTTGAGTTTGGGCGTGTTGGGTTTTAGGAGTTGGGGTTTTATGGTTTGGGATTTAGGGTTGGAGGTTGCAGGTTCAAGGTTTTAGGATTTAGGGGTTGAGACTTTAGGTTTCGGGGTTTAGGGTTTAGCGTCTAGGGTTTAAGGTTTTGATATTTTGAATGGCCTGAGTTCCCCTTTAAAGGGTTTATGGTCTGGGGAAGTCAGGAAGTTTAGAGGTTAAGGTTTAGGGATTCAGGTTTTAAGGTTTTGAGGATTACTTCCACGGTTCTCCTAACCATCGCCTTTACACATCCTGAGGTTCTCTGTTGATCAGGCTCATTCGCGAACCCTTAAGAATTAGGGTTTTGTTGTTCATGGTTTCGGGTTTAGGGCTGGTGGACTTGGCAATGTTTGTATGGGACTGGAGGGGATCTAAGAGGACAGCCGTTGGGTGAAAACCTCTTCCTGGTCAAGTGATTGCCTAAACCCTAAACCCTAAACCCTAAACCCGAAACCCTAAACCCTAAACCGCATGGAGAGTCTGGCAGTTTACCAGGTGTCTTCTGGGGTTTTGCACTTCGACGGGGCCCTTCCTGGCATGATGGGAAGTTGACAGCACGTTGTCATATTCCTGCGTTTGGATTGGGGAACTAGGGTTTAGTGTACTGGCCTAGGGGTTTAGGATTTACGGTTTAGGGTTTAGTAGGGATTGTCTTCCGAACCTGCCATATTCAACTGCGAAGCACGACGAGAACCCTTGACCCTTCCACCAGTAAGCTTCAGGCACGATACCGAAAGCAAGATCTGAAGCCTTGCTCAGGACCGACAAGGTCAAGACGCTTGTGAAGGACTTCATTTGGAATCGGGGATGGGGCTCATGATTCCTTCTAGATTCAGTTTTTTTTTGAGGGATTTTTAATGCATGGGCCGAGAGAATTTCCAATATCTTCTGAGGTTTATTTATGGTACACTATTCCCGAACTATACAAAGAATCTAGTAGCATAATATTGGTGATTTTGAAGCCCCTACACTATTCAGAAGCTGCGTGCAATTCAGACCAAAACCCTGAAATAGGCAGAGTCCTTGAATTTTCCTGGAAGGTTGTGAGGTGCTTCTTCTTGTTTCGGCGTGGTCTTCCTGGTTGTTGGTCACCTTTGAGCGCAGTTGACTGAGCTCCCCTTGTGGGAGCGCTTGCAACTGGTTGTTAGTACTGAATGAACAAGACCTGGGAAGCTGCTAGAGCGCTTAGGCTTTCGGGTATGGAAAACGATAAAGAGTTTGTGATATTGTTGGGGAGTATCTAAACTCTAAACCCTAAATCCTATGTGAATTGCTGTAGAGATCCTTTCCTCCATTTTCTACCAGAAATCCACAAGTTGGTAGCATGCCCGCCTCCATGCTAGATCCCTAAACCCTAAACCCCTAGTTTAGGGTTAAGGGTCTAGGGTTTAGCCCAAACCCTGCATCCCTAGACCCTCCAATGTAGAGCCCTTTTGGTAGCCCTTATAAGAGTCCTAACCAAAAAAACATGCCAAACCCAAAAAGGAACCGCATTGGAGGGTCTAGGTAAATCCTAAACCCTAGACCCCTCATCGTAAACCCTAAAGCCTGAACGCTGAACATTGGGGTGAAGTCTGGCGGAAGGGAGCTGCAGATAAGGGCTCCTCTTGAAGGTTGCTGGGTAGCTAGAAGTGAGCCTGTACAAATCACGAAATAAGGTCTAGGGTTTAGGGCTTCGGGTTTATGGCTTCAGCTTTAGGGCTAAGGGTTTAGTGTTTAAGGTAAAGCCGTTTTGACACAAGGAGCCTGAGTATCAGCACAGACGGGGCACCAGGTGATGAGCCTGATGAACCAGAACCAGAAGCAGAACATCTTCTGGAAATTTTCTCTGATTCCGATTGGGCCGG